GTGACATCACAAAACAAAACAAACATGAGATGCATTCTCATTTTCGATCATTTAAATGATATTTTATACACTAAATGTAACTCAAAGTTTATTCAACATGTCAGAAAATTGGCGAAAAGTCAGGGCCTCCTGCCGCAGACTGTAAGTACTATTCTGTTACCCTAGAGGTTAGGAATGTGTTGATGTTTATTCATTAGTGGTATTGATTGAATATTTTATGAAAACATATGTCATATTTCCATTTGGAACTCACATGTTCAAGAATAAATAATCTTCACCTAGAAATACTGTCCAGTTGGAGTTATTAAAAAAATAAATTTTGAATCTGCACAGTAGAAAGTTCTTTCATTATTATGGTGGAATTCCTCATTCATATTAATTTGCCTTTAGAGTTGTTGGACTGGATATACGAATCTACTTTTTCAGTTCTCTAAGTTATCATCAACTTCCATTCCACTAGTTTTTAAAGGGGTAGTGACCACAGTGAGCAGCCTGTTACATAATCAAATAGATTTTTTTTTTTTTTTTTTAAATTTCTATGTAGGATTTAATTCTACATTCTTTTTGAAATATAGTATGATTCACCATGCAGATTAGATCATTTATCAGAACATGATACTGTTTGCTTTCAGGAGTCGGCTGGAGAGGAATCTAAGCTCAGTCCAAACATTATAATTCAACTTTTCTCCCCTATGGTAACATCTCAGCGAGTGATGAGCTGTCAGTTTGGTAATTCCTACACCTTTATTCAGTGTCAAGATGGAACTAACATGGTTTTTGATGAGGTTTGTCTTTTACCCCTAGTGATGTGCAATTATTACAATCGAACTTTGAACATTATTGTTGTACGCTACTATAAAAATTAGTGACTATGCCTTTTTTTTTGCCTCACAGTATATGGGCTACCTCTTCATTCATATTGGTAGTGAGGAGGTAAATTGGCTGAAACGTGGACTTGGTGTTTGCATTTCATTTGTGAAACACCTCTGTGGACCGGATGTGTCATTGTATGTTTTTCCCATCTGTGAAAGAAATTTATTAATAGTATTTTTGTAATTTTTTTGGAAGTGTAATTTGCAACCTTTCATTGTTTTAGACTCAAAATCAATCAAAGCCGTTCTGACCTTCTCACTCAGTTGATGGATACATGGATTTCCCTCCAAGATTCTGAGCAATGGCTTCTTGTGGAAGCTGTAGAACAGTTAACTGTCAATGCCGAATTAAGTGGTGCAACATTAAAAACCTTACAAACAGCTGTGGATAAAATGCGGAGTGTAGACGAACTGCAGAGAGTTCATGCAATGATATTAGTACGAAACAAATTTTTATCTCTTTATTCGAGGTAAGACTGTGTGTTGGCGTGGTGACTTTTATTACTGAAGGCTCTTGCCTTAAGCCTCAATAATTTTTTTTTTTTTTTTTTTTTTTGACATGCAGCAAAAATACTCAAGATCTATCTGCCGCAGATCTTCTCTTTTTGAACATTTTAACAGAAACTGTTCATGATAAAGAATCTCAACCGAAAACAAACACAACACAAAGCGACAGTGGACTAAGTGGTGAAAGCAGTGATGAATTTTACAGCCCCTCTGGTAGTGCTGAGAGTAGTCCAAGTGTTAGCCCTAAACCCATCAGACGTTTTCCATCGTGTACACTGAATGAATCGGTCTCACCAATCAGAGTGACTGTTAGTCATGACTTAATTAGTCATCTGGTCCTCCTGAGTGGAGTTCCTTATGCAGTTCATATGGCAAGCATGGCTCCAGGTGTCACTCTATTGCTAATGGTGCAGACTCCAATGGGTCCTTTGTGTAATGGGCTATCAGATGCTTTACAAGCTCTAAATGTGCTGCAGACTTTGCAAGTACAGAAAGATTTGGACGGTGTAAAACTTGCTTTTGAAGCCCTTGATGGCTCAATGAAGCGTAGTCTTGATGCTTTAAAAAAAATTAAAGCTACCGCTTCTTCTATAGAGACATGCAGTTCGAAATTGCAAGGCCTGTGGGATTTCATCAGAAGGTAATCTTTTTATCAGTGCACAAATTTAAAGCTGCTTGTATTCTCAATAACTGTCTTCAAATTGTATTTTGATATTTCAAATTGCATTTTGATTTTTCAAATTGTAATTTGATTTTTCAAATTGTAATTTGATATTATTATTATTTTCAGGAAGTATATTGAGTATATGAAGACTACTGAGCCAGATTGTCTCTTGAGGATTGAATCCAGCTCTGCAGGATTTCAATCTTTGCTCTGTGAACTTCTGTGGAGAACATGCCTTGACTCAATAGCTCTACGTGCTGCTGTGTCTGGTATAGAGTCAGGAGCAGACCATGTCAGAAAAGGCCTACATGATTTCAGTAGTTTCCTTCAAGTTAAAGCTCTCTGCAACTTCACTCTAGGATCATATCCTTTATTACTTGACTCTTGAGCTGCTTGTGAAAGCGTGCATGTTTTTTTCTTCTTCTTTTTTTTTTTTTTTTGTGGTCTGTGTGTGTGTGTTTTGCTTACATTAATCTCTGCTTTGTTAATGATCAATGGAACAAAGTCCAGTGTTTTTCATGTGGGTAATGTCCTTAATGAGCTTTACGAGAGCTTCCCTAACCATCAACAAGTATTTAGAGGAATTCCCTGGTTTGGTTCACTTTATATATGTTGATCGATCAAATCACCGAGTCACAGCTCCTTCCTTGGATTTTTCTGCGCAAGAAACAGTAACACTCACAAAGAAAAAAGTAATGTTGGACTGTATATTGTATTTTCACTTACAAAACCTAAAATACTATTAAAAAATTAAAAATTGTTTTCAGATATGGTGGATGGTGGAGCTGAGCAGATCTCATTTGCAGGATGGCCATTTTGCTCTGATGTGGAAAGACACAACATTTAACTATGCATACTTTCTTTGGTTTGAAGATTCATCAGTAAGTACTTAGATAATACAATGTTATCTTCCTTTTATTTATCCTTTTCTTGGTTTTTCTCTACATTAGTTCCCTTCACTGTGAAATGTTTTGAATTGATATTTTCTTTTTGTCTGTTTAGGGTTCTCCTTTAAAACCTAAAGTTCTCCCAACTTCAGCATTGAAAAATTTTCCTCTACCTGGTGTCATGTGTGGTGACTTTTACTCGTGAGTTGAGAGAGCTTAATTATTGGTATAGCTACAGTAGTCAACTTCTTAATAGACCCAACCAGTTACTGTCATTCAATTCCTTTGTTCCAGAAAACTAATTGAATGCTGCTTTCCTAAAACATCACCCAACAAAATTCGATGCTTTGAGCTTATGTGCATACATCTGGGGCTTGCAACATCTTCGTGTGTTCTGGAACATTCTAGAAGATTAGCTGCAACAATTTGGGAAGTAACAGGCATGCCAGGTAGTCCATTAGACCTTTTGTAAATAGGTGTGCTGGGCATTAGAAACCAACATTGCTCGCAACCTACTTTGTGAACATTCCATGACAACATGTAACTTTATGTAACTGCATAAAATACAGAAATTAATTATTTTAAAAGCAAAAAGTTGTACATTTTCAACTGACTATTTTGTTGTACTTATTGACATACGTAAAGTGAAAGTTTAATGCTCCTATTTTAAGTGAAAGGTTATCTAATGTGCCATCAGAAAAATTGTCAAAAGGCATGGCAGGCATGTATCTGTGACCCCGTTCAAGCAAATGCTGGATATGTGCCTCAAAAATGGTTTGCCTAATTCTTTTAGTCCACAAAGTTATCTTTTGTGTGTGATTTGCAGAAAAAACAATTCTCAGGGTGCTCCAACAATGTCTTCACTTCACGTTGTCTTCACTTACATTTAATCATATAAAGTGAATATAAAGTGAAGACAAAGTGAAGCAAGGTTTTATAAAGGCTGACTTTACTTAGTTTTCACTTGAGCTTCACTTAATATTCACTCAAAGTGAAGTGAAGACCAAGTGACGCTAACTGAAGACTGCATTGTAGGAGCACCCTCAATTTATCATCTCATCCAAAATATTGTTTGTTATAATTTTTGTATGTTTTTCATAGATTAGGTCATTATAATCTCATACAACTCATTGTAATACATATTTATGACTAAATGCTTTTTGTACTCCTAAAGTTACCATTTGATATTTCAATTCAAATGTAAACAATTAATTTTGTTCAACTAAAATTTGTTCTCTCAACAGTGAATGGTTGTCAATATAGGTTAATTTTGTGATGCTCATGGTGCCATAAAAAATGATGATTGTTATTTTAGAGACTACAATTTTCTTTCTAAGTGAGTCTTGTTAATGCTTTCCATGCAGTTATGATTTTAATGTTAAAAATGATTTTAAACCACACTAAACTTAAAGAAATGTTTGGTGCTGGCATACAGTGCATTCATACCAGTGTAAGATTCTTTCTTGAGGTCCACATATGTGATACAAATTATATCTCGGCATTTTAAGTTAAGAGTAAGTTACCTATTATGTTTACCCATAGTACAAAATATTATTGCAGTATTTTATATGAGGGACTCAAGGGTAATAGTGTCATGGCCGATGTAACCAAAATATTATAAACTGGCCTAAAATCTACTTTAATTAATTGAACTCTATTAAAGATGAGAATCAGATTCTTTAATTGTTTGTGGGATGTGAATTTCTCTAGAATTGGTAAACGATAAGTTCCAGTAACATTTTGTCAGGATAGAGTTGCTGTAAAACTTAAATGGTCTAAAGTATTATCAGTAATAGGAATACTGTAATTGGAAAGACTGTTCCTGTGCCATTTTCACATGTAGTCTCTACTCTAGAGAATAGCTGATTTGACTTGGTGCATGTGCATATCACAATGAAATTCACATACCTCACAAAAATCCTGTGTTTATTCTAAGACTAGACACGAGAAGTCAGATTTTCGGTGAGAGGTTTTTATTACATTTTGCATACAGTATTTCTCAAACTTAATTATCACAAATAAAACAAATTGCTTTAGTATGAATTTTGTGTTTCTTCCCTGGTTGACCCATGTAGGTAGGTGCTGGAAGTGGTGAAATGTCAAGGATTAACCAGTCCTGAATAGAGTACTAAAACGGTGTTTATTACTTCAAAGAAACATATATTCAGTAGTGACACAATGAAGGGGCACACTGTAGTGTTTTGACAAGGCGACAAGGACAGAATCAAAATAAATAAGAGTGATTTATTGTGAGATAAGTACTGAGTCATCTTCAACTTGATTGACAAACTAGTAAATAACAAGAAAATTAACAGATGAAGCGAACAAGTTTCCAGTTCCAGGTCTTCAAAATAGAATTACATCAGATTTATAATTCAAAACTTAATGTACACTTGGTAAATAAACTTATACAATATTGGTAGACGCAATACTGCTGACAATGATCAAATTGTAGACTCATAGAACTATCACATCACTGGTGCGTAGTTTCTTAGACACAGGGCTCTCCTCAGCTGAATCTTGCTTACGCTTACGTTCAGCCTTTGCAGAAGGAGTTTCTTCAACTTCATCAAGCAACATAAGATCATCCTCTTCCTCTGCATTGTCTCCAGAACCACCTGGAAAAATATAAAGAAATGATATAAGAAAACATACTTTAAAGTCTGTTGTAATATCAAACAGTTTAATTCTTCATCCATTTACAAAGACAAAGAAAACTAACCATTTGACTTTTCCTCTTCAGCCTTCGGTTGGCATTTGCTTTGATCACCAACTATCTCAATATCTGGCTTGTTGTGTTCAGCTTCCCTATACACAATATGAGGTGTAGGTAAAGAAAAATACAATAAGAGGGTAACTGAGAAATATGATTAAGAAAACAGTAACCCAAACTGAATATTACCTGTGGTTGATGATGACTTGAAGGCTATAGTTCTGAACAAAGTCGTCTACTGATAGAACAGTACCATCCAATATTCCCATTTCAGCAAGACTTTTATGGTATGTTCCTTCCATTTCTCCCTCTTCACTACTTATAACAACGTCTCCTGTTGAATCTTTCACAGCATCCGGTTGCACCATATTAAGGAGGGATTTCAGAACGCGTTCTTCCAATTCCTTTACAGTCAATTTGTTGACATCCACAGATACTGCAATCTAAAAAAGAAATCACACAGATAAAAACACACACATTGGTTTCAAATGGTCTCTAATAAAAGTTGAATTACCTGGGGGGAGTCACGGCATACGTAACATTTCTCATTTGGAGGATTTAAACCCCGTTCTGGTACAATTAGCTGACCTCTATGGTTGGGTCTGAGTCGGCAATAGACTGAATGACAACTTTCAAGGCGATTTTGGAGAATATTGAATGCATTGAGCACAACAAGACCAGCGATTATAGCATTGGTGGTGGCAATGGCTGGGATAATATTTCCAGCCATGGCTAGAAAATTTGTCAAAAATTAGATATTTATAGTTAGTTCATGTAGTAACCCTGTTGGCACAAAACTTTTAATTCCCTTACATTTAATATCAAATCTGGTTTTTTGAGGTATTCCAAATATGTATGCCCTAATGTTAGCACATGCAGCAACAAAGTCCATGGCATCCTTGTCATCTTTGTCCCAGACGAGGTGATCATCTTTATTTTTGGACTGCAAATCCTGTTCACATAAAAAATAAGAAATGAAATGAAATTGGGATGAGTAAGATTGAAAAATTTAGGAATTGTTTTTCTTCACCTCAAACTTGGTCTTAAGAGACTGTAAACTGCGGGAAAAAATTTGTCCACACTCAACAATACTCCATGGGCGCTGATCTTTCAATCCTTCTGCAGAATTATCCTTGCTACTACCTGCAACTGAAGATAGAAAATGATTAAAGAACATGGTGGGATAGTCAAAATAATACAGCAATAGCAAATTATCATAGAATCAAACACACCAGCATCTGGAAGCTCGTTCATTTTTAAGGGAGTAGGCTTGCGACGCTTTTCCCAGAGATTGTGCATACTTAGCAAATACTTAATGTCATCGTGAAAGAGTTTGTGGAATAATTTGGCGCTATCATAACCGCTTTGCTGAGCCCATTGTCTTGTAGTAACACGTTCAATGTCACCCTGTTCATTTGCTTTGGTTTTCAAAGCAGATTCCCCTGCGGCACCTTGGACGATGAAGTATATTCATTACAGATAAGAGTAGATAAGGAATTGAGTATCAGAGAAAATTACAAGCAAGTGTGGGTAAATGAAATACTGACCAGCTGCTTCTGGATCCTCAGTGTCTGGGGATACATCATTGTCAGCGTCATACTCACCAAAGAGCTGACTGTGGTATCAAGAATAACTGTGTAAATTTAAAACAGCACAACAACCATAGATCATGATGAATAAGACAAGACACTTACTTAAAGAGATGTTTACCCCAGACAATGCAATGAATGGGTTCTGATGGAGTATTACGAATAGTGCATCCAGGGAAAGTTTTCTGAGCAGCTTTCGGCTCACATTCATAACATTTTGTCATCCCTTTCTTAATGAGTTCCACCTAGGTAAAAAGGAAGAGCCACTGCAGTTGGGCACAAGAACAAAGAACTCAATCTGAAGACTACAAAAGTAATTTACCTGGCCATCGTACCCAGCGGTTCCACTTTCAATGAGAGGAATGTCAGCAGCTAGGCACATCCTATTCACATGGTTGCGAGCTGCTCTATTGTCTAGAGCGTTCAAGACCATTCGGAATTGCTTAAAATAGTTGACACTGTAGTCTGGTCTGAAACAGGAGTCCCATATATAAAATAAGAATACAAGTGTAGCACTACATTCATTTTTTTAAAATAGTTCAATCGATTTTAAAACCTACTTTATAATACTGTCATGATTGGCTACAATTTTTACATCAGGGTTGAAACTCAAGGCACTCTCTCTAGCCACAACAGCTTTAGACTTGCCAACATGCTGCTTTTGAAAGAGAAACTGTCGATTGAGATTACTGACATCAATGGTGTCCAAATCGATCTGTAATAAGATTAATAGTGTAAAGTTAAAAAGAGTAACATAAAAATGTACGTCAAAAAGAACGACAACCAAACGTCAGGCTCCGCCGGCTCCAGACAAAACAAATAACTCAAATTGACTTACAATTTCGATGTCTTTGAACCCTGACAAAACGAGATTCTTCAGGATTTCACAACCAATTCCACCTGCACCAACAACAAGAACTTTGGATGTTTCCACAGCATTTTTGAGATCATCGGTGAACACACCGGCAATGCTGGCCGCCATTTTCACAGCACTTCACACAAATAAAAAAAATCCGAATGAGAACAAATGATTCTCTTTCCGGCTAACCAGTGTGCTGTAAATAATCGCAGAGGAGGGTATATAAAGACCAACGCTTACCAAACTTTAAAAAAAAGAATACAAAAGAAATATAGTATTTTCTAAGTTAAGGTTTCCTATCAATTTATAAAACCAAGTTTCAATTAAGTGACATGGGTTCTGTCTCTGACGGGGTGTACTCCTCATCTGAAAAATGATGTAATTTATTCTCAGGATAGGATCAGAAAGCCGTCTGCTACACCCCCCCCCCTTTTCCTCAGTCCAATGTTGCAAAAGGTTCTGGCATGTCGCAAGAAAATACTCTCACATCGTAAATATTGACGTCTGAAGGTTTCGCTGCGTTGATATCAAGGTCTTATCACGTTTTAGTGAATGTTTTTCTTCCTATACTTTTAATTATATCAATAAACCGTAAAAATCGGTGCAGTTATTGATCCCGGTCTTGCATTTACTTATCAGCCAAACTGAAGTGTTCTGGTATGGTGTCTGGTCTCGAATGTTAAGAAACTGGGTGTTAGTTTTCGTGTCATCGGAGTAAATTACCACTATCCCTCTCTTTTTCTAAGGTATATTTATTTTCTTATGTTTAATACCAAATGTGGTTCGTATCTTAAGATTGCCATTCACTTGGGGTTACCAGCTAATACAACGACCTCCGACCTCGAATGTTTCGGAGGGGGGTTATGTTACCACCATTTAATACAGTTATGTCTTTCATTTTGGAGATTCCTTTTCATTATTCCCGTTGAATATTCCTTCCACAGCTGTTTATACTCTGATGTTCTATCAATCTTATGGTGCTGGAGCTCTTGAAAAATATTTCGATTGTACTGCTCACAAGTTATTCTACTTAATATCATGTTATAACTTTTACTGCTGCCGCTTGTTGATGAGCAAACTTGATCTATTAGTTTGTTTTCTTATTGCAGATGTTGGACAGTTAGAAACAACAATTGAATACAGGTCATATGTGAGTAGATATGACCAAATTTGTGGGAGCATCAGAATCATCCACAATGGCAGCTCAACTATGTCTTTGATGATTGCATAGACATGACAGCAGTATCTGATGATAAAGGTTAACAACTAGAAAAATCTGTCAACAGTTAATTTCCTTGTCTTGGTATGAACATCGTTGAACTCAAAGAAGAAAGCTTAGCATTCAAAATGGCAATGCCAGACACTATTAACACTATTGAGTGGAATATGATGGACAAAAGCAAATTTTTCCCCCTTAGTATGTTAAGTTCCTTCACAGTACGATGCTGTCTTTATCCTTTGACTGTCATCAAAACTAGGCTCCAAGTACAGCGACATGATCAAATGTATAAAGGTATGTTTTAGATGTTTTCTATTTACCTTGTGCTTTCAAAAATATATTTTGGAATCCTAATGAAAATGTCTCTTTTTAGGAATGGCTGATGCATGGAGAAAAATTTACTCCTTAGAAGGGGTGGGAGGTCTTTATAGAGGGTTTTGGATAAGCTCAATTCAGATTGTTTCTGGTGTTTTCTATATCACTACTTATGAAGGTGTCAGACATTTACTTGGCCAGTCTGGTTTCAATCCTCGAATTAAAGCACTTGCAGGTGGTGGGGCTGCTTCTTTAGTTGGTCAAACAATTATTGTTCCATTTGATGTTCTTAGTCAGCACCTTATGGTGTTAGGATTTTCAAAACGAGGAATGAATGCAAATCCTGAGGCAAGTTATTTCAATTTTACTGTCTGAACTGTCTGTTATTCTTCCTTATTAAAGCTATGATTGTGCTGCAGGAAACTTTTGTTTCATACTTGTGTTACGTTTATTTTTTACAGATGATCATGAACCCACTCGGAATTCCTCTGAATAAAAACCATTCACATTTTCGGGTCACCATGGATATTATGTCAGCTATTTACCGTAGAGATGGATTTACAGGATTTTACCGGGGCTATGTTGCATCCCTTTGCACTTATGTTCCAAACAGCGCAATGTGGTGGGCTTTTTACCATTTATATCAAGGTGAGCTTTATTGTAGATATTGAAGAAAATTACTCTATCGTTTTTTCTTGGGCAAGTTCTTTATAAATGTGATGCTGTAATTTCTCTTTTATGTTTTATAGAGGAATTGCTTCGAATTTTACCTGATGACTTCTCCCACTTACTGATCCAGTGCATTGCTGGCACCTTGGGTGGATTCACTACAACATTACTCACTAATCCTCTTGATATTGTGCGGGCCAGACTACAAGTGAGTTCCTCATTAATTTTGTTTGTTCTCTTTTGTGTTTCTGAAAGATGGTTTTGCAAGTGTAGTGATTTTCTTTACAGGTTCAACGGTTAGAATCAATGCAAAAAGCATTTAGAATTTTGTGGAAAGAGGAACAAATGCGCATTTTCACCAAAGGTCTCTCTGCTCGCTTGGTTCAGTCTGCATGTTTTTCATTTTCAATTATACTTGGATATGAAACTATTAAAAGAATTAGTGTGAATGAGGAATACAAAGAACATGTACGTTGGTAGCGCTAAATCAATTTCTAGTTCATAAATTGTTATTATGAATTTTATATAGTAATTTATTTTTTTCAACTGTATCAAAATGGTGTACTATATTGGCTAATATCTTGGCATCGACATTATTGACCGCACTCCCCCTTCGGTCCAATCAATCAATCAATTTACTCAGTTAATGACTTTTTAACTGACAGTAAATCTCAAATAGGTTTTTCTTAATGTATTACGCAATAGTGGTATTTAATTATGAACTCCATTGGTTTGGCTAATTTAAATGTATTAAATATCTCCATCACAATACAGGCTGAAAGACTGATTCAAATTTCACAGTAAAAAAAAAGATGCTTGTTGGTTTTCTCAATTTCAGCTTTGGTAGTTTGATATAACTCTGTGCCTAAGTGTGCAGTCATAAGTGATATATTAATTAGTTGACAGTGTTGCTATACAGTGAACGTGAACATGATCATAAATAGTGGCTGAGACAGTAAGATTAGGGTTTGCACAAGTGATCTTTGGTAGAGTTGAGAACAAGCAGCAGCAAATAAAAATAGTAGCCAGCCTTCACTTAAAATATTGCATAGTGTTTGTTGGTATTTGTCCAATCAAACAAAGGGGGTCTTGTATTTTTAATATTTGTTTATCAGATGTGTTTTTTACAGTGATCATGTTAATTTAACTCAGCTAGTGGCTGTGACAATATTGGTATGAGAATTGCTGTGCTTTTTGTGGCATTTGTTTTGTCAAATTATCAGATTTTGACTTAATTACTGTTATGTTTGCACAGGATCTATCTGAAATGTAGTCTGTTTCTTTATCCCCATTATGTGAGGATATGTGCATCACCTATAGATAATTTTTTCCAAATCCATAGCTTTGTGATTTATTCAGTTCAATTTCTCCCAGCCCCTTTTCAAAACCACATATTACCTGACCTGTGTGAGTGTTTCTATGTCAGGTTTCCTCTGATTTGTGACATCCACTTTGAAGCAGTTTGTACGTCTGTGAAAGTGTCAATATACTTATCTGTATATCATAAATAAAAAGAAATTTGAACATTTGAACTGTTTGTGCAAATGTTTCTTTGACATTGTTTAACTATGCAACAATACATGCAAGAATGTTTTTGCTGCTCATATTTTGTGATTGCTCGCAACAAATCTGACCATGTTTTCTAACTCACACAAAGTGTAGTTTGCTTTTGTGTAAAGAAAATTGGTGTCACATTTCCAATTTATTGATTGCAATCTTTAGTTTAAACATTCTGGTCAGTTGTTACCTTTTATTTGATTTTCATTGTTAATCATAGTATTATGAAGTTGTTTATTGTTTGATTATAATTTTATTTGTGATTGTGTCAATGCATAGACAGTTATGTGCCTTATTTTTTATGGAGAACAAAAAATAGAAATAGGGCAGGTGAGAAAATTGTAATAGCAAGGACCTCATGTAATTTTATTGCGGACAATACGTGTAGTTTAGTGCAATGTTTGTCATTCCAAGGTGAGGCCTTGCCTTGAATTATTGCTTTTAACTAAATTACCAACCAATCTAGTCCATTGTACTGTATGCTGAAATTGAAAGGTACAAAGATGGAATGAGATGTTTCTTGATTTTCACACATTTCTGTCATGAACTTTACATTTCAAAGCTCAGTCTCCATTTGGCTCTGCTGTTGTACTAATTTTGTTGAGTTAAAATTTAAGGCAATCTGAATCAAAGTGTATGGCATGTCTTGTGTTGTGTGGTGCGGGTCACCACCATTTCAATAAATTGTTTCGAAAATGACTTTACACTGCTTGCTTTTTGTTCTTACTACTGCAGCAGCTGAGCTGCATCTGGGCAGGGAGAGAAGCGAGGTGTTTGTGAGTGCTCGCCAGCCACGCCTGCTCGGCTCCGCTCGGCTCCGCTCGGCTCCTCTACGCCCTGGTTATGCTGGGTAATGAGGCCCTTGGCAAAGGGGACAAGGGGAAAAAGGGGGGGGGGGGGGGCGAAGCCAGAGTGAGCGTAGAAATGTATGGCTCGGCCAGCAGCGCCAGAAGCTGCCCTATAGAATAGAGTGACTTGTGGAGATGATGGAATATTACGGGGAAGCCCCGCTTTACATGTTTCTCCCTCGCAAATGCGCCATGATGGACTATCCAACCCGCGCTTCCTTGATTACCACACGTTTACCCCTCTCCCTTCTTACACTCCACAAGCCTTCCGGGAAGGTCTTGCAAATTTAATTGGAGCACGCGCATTTCTGAGTGTGTGAGGGGGCGGGGTGCGCGGCGGGAAGGGAAGCGCGATAGTGAGAAGGAAAGGGGGGGGGGGGTCCTCCCCCACCCCGGAGCACTGTCTGGATTATTGACATTGATTACACTTAAGAAACCCCTCCGCTCCCATGTAAATACAAAATGAATAAATGGCAATTAATTACGAAACAAGTGTGTTAAGGCGCCCCCAGGCTATGCCCCTGCGGCCAATCCACCAACCAAGTACTATGGCAATATCCCTCTGTTGTTCCGTTTCCGCTGTCGGCGTCAGCCAGCCTGTGGCCTGTGTTGTGTTGTGTCCGCGTCCTGGTGCCTGATAACTGTTGGTTCGTTTATCGTGTGTTTTTCTGCGGTTTAACGACGGCGATACTGGCGGTAACTATGGTGATACACCGTTGCGTGTTCACACTCCCAAGGCAAAAAGATATTTGGCTGTTTGAAATCTCGAAGGAAAGGATTGCACGAAGGTTTGGAGGTTATGGCCGACACGAAGAGCACCTGTTTGCACGACGATTCTTCGCCGATGAGGGCGGAGGGTGGAGGGTGGAGCTGTGCTTCCCCGTCGTCGATAAGATTGAAGAGGTGAGTTAAGAACAGCTGCTTCAATTACGGAAATGTTGTCCTTTTGATGGAAATGAACAAGCTGCTACAGGCTTATTTGAAGTTGTTTGTGTATGTTTGTATCGGGTGGACACTGTTGTCCTCTTGAGCAACCCTGCTTTCTTCTGTAGCCTACCTTACGGGAGGGGGCACCGCGAAAGCTAAAGCCGTAGTCTAGACACCGAGTCCGAGTGGAGGTCGTAGAGATATAGGTGCGGGAAGGGGGGGGGGGGCGCTCGATTCAAAAGCTTTGCCCAGCACCCGGCACCAGCACCAGCTTTCCGAGGTACTTACGCCCCCATTGTTGTGCCGTGATGGACTTTCCCCCCATTGTTTCCGAGGATCCTCTCCTCTCAGGAAGCCGTCAACATGGAGCGAGAGGGAGAGAGGGGCGATGGGGGCGGGCGCGGGCAAATAGAGAGGACGTCAGAGACGCAACTAGGAGATCCTTGACAAAGACGGCCAGCCCTTGGCAGTGAGGTGAGGGGAAGGGGGGAGGGGGGGGGGCGGACAGCCTCCTCTCATCCTTTTTGCCCCAGCATCAACAATAGCCCGGCAGAGAGGTACTCACCGGGGATCAGCCAGCGCGCTGTCTGCCCGCGTCGATCGTCCCGTCCGTCCGTCTGTCGATTGCGAAAGGGTGAGAGCGGGGGAGTCAGCTGGCCAACTTTATACTGGCGTGACGAAAACCTCTGGGCCCGCTTCAACTGGGTTGTAAATGAGACGAGAGAGGCCGCGCTCGGGGAGCCCTGCCATAGGCTGCCGCACGGGGGGGAACACAGTGCTATGAAGGCTGTGCTCGAGTGTAAGCAGGGGTTGCCTATCTGCTAGGGGGGCCATCCAGATCCTGTCGGGCCAACATGGCCAGCTTGAAAATTTAAACCAAGTCACAATTTAATTTTTCCTACCAATGAAGAAACAGAACATTACTATAGGTGACCCCAGGAGTATAGACCCATAAAATACTCAGATTGGGGATGGTACTACAAAATACAACAAAAAAAGCAAGCTCCAAACTGCAACATTTTGGTGGGGTAATGTTGTCTCCAACATCCACAACCCCGCGAAAATTCAACCGTGACTCGGCTCGGGTGTGCTGTTTTGAATTTCTTTTTATTATTTTTTAAAATTTGTCCGTATCATAATTTTAAAGTGGGACTTTAATTATTAGAATGATTCGCTCTGTCTAGGTGTATTCAATGATATTTTAAATTGTGTGGTAACCAACGCAGTGTATATTTTCTCGTACAGGTGAAAGAACTAACTGAAAGAAATTACTAATTTATGACTAAAACTGTATTGCACTATTTGAGTTAGAGTTGAACCTCACACCTGTTTTATTTTGAGTTGGTTATTTTGTTTCGTTACTTTACATCTATATTAGCATAACCAAGAAAAATGTGCTCAACAGGGCATTATAACCTCGACCATAACCTAGATGGAACATGTAGAAAATTTATGTACGGCAGCGAGCCCTCAACATCGTAGGATAGAATAAGCATTGCAAAGAATACTACACTCATTGAACCGACAAATCCTGTATTTCCAAAAAAACAATAACAGCAAACACGACTAAACTTCAGACTTGTGGCTGACGACGGCCTCTCTGGCCTCCGCATCAAAACACTAGTGGTACCACACACGCAACATTGAAGCAGACCCGTTCTCAAACTCACTTTCCATCTCATATGACTCAAATATTAGTAAACTACATACCCAGACATACTTTTTCAACGTTCCCCATCATTTTCCTAGCCACAAAAATTAGAAAAAGAAAAGTAAAATAGTGATGGAAGATGAATCACCAGTTTTACGTTTTGGGTAGTGGCCCGACAGGATTTGGATGGCCAACAAGAACAAGGGGAAACATCAACAACTAAAGCGTCGGACTCTGTCCCATTGCAGTTCCCCCCCGTGGGCTGCCGATGCGGGCGCATAGCGAGCCGCCCGCCGCCCTTACGCCGCCCCGTTGCCTGCACATCTTTTAGGCGCGATCCCACGGTTCAATGAAGCACGAAATAAAGCAGCGTGGAACAGCAGCAGCGCCAGGCCGGGAGCGGCGAGGCGCGGGGCAGCGGGCGGGGGGCAGTGGCCGGGGTCTCTCCGGCCGGCCGCCTCGGGCCGCCTCGGCCCTGTCCTCCTCAATACACAGCCCGGGCCGGGCGTCTAACAAATCTAGGGGGGTACCGGGGGTATACAGAGGAAGCTCTGGCTGCTGGGAGGCCCCGGGGATGGAAGCACGATGCAGAAATGGGGAGCTCTGGGGGAGGGCCGACGCCGCCGCTGCTGCAGGGGTTGAGGGGGGAGGGGGAGGCTTAAGCGGGGGTGGTCCGGGGGATCCTCGGGCTCCGAGGTAAGAGACTGACTGCCCTGCAGGGCCCCGCCGGCCGCGCCGCCTGCTCAACTCACCTCCCCGTTGCCCTGTCCCTGTCGCCGCGCCGTCCTTGTCTTCGTCCTCCTCGCCCTTGCGCCGCCGCGCCCTGCGAATCGTTTCGACCCCCCTCCCCTCCCCCTCCCCC